TTCGTTTTACACTATACATTTTGTCGTTTGTGATTGCAGTATTGTGAAACAGACATATTAATTATTATTACAACACATAAATATGTGACCTACTTCATTGACCTATTTGTGACAATTTTACCTCCTGTAGACAAAAGCTGAAATATTTTGGTCATTTCAAGCACCATGGCGGATTGGAAAAACTAATAGTGGAAGGCATGGTACCAGGGAGGAGGAGCAGGGGCCGACCGACACGAAGACAGGTACAGGATATACGTGACTCCTTGAATATGAAAGTACATGAGGCGGGAGAGCTGGCGAGAGACCGAGTTTCTTTCAGGCAGACTGTGATGAGAGCGATGTTCTGCAAAGAACCTGCTACACGATGATGAGACTGATTTGATCCTACGTCCTCAACAGCCAGGCAGTGCGGGTATAAAAGATAATGAACGAGCAGATCAACTGGCAAGCCATGCAGGAAGAACCATGGGCAGATCAGATATCATTAACGCTGTACGGACTGGACAAGTGGATAATGAGGAATCTGACACTAACACGATTGCGTGAGCAAAGTATGGTGAAGCATTCGAGGCCGAAATTGTAAGCATTGTAACCAACTGCTTATGGGAACAGTCAATAGAGGTACCTTGAAGTGGCTATTGGATCAGAGGACTGAGCACGTACGGGAATGCCTAGTGTGCAGTACGGTAGCGTCGAGTCTGATAACACAACATAAGGGGATCTCTTTCTGCAAACAGCAGATATTTCTTTTTCTTCATCTCCTCCTCCTCCTCCTCCTCCTTCTTCTTCTTCTTCTTCTTCTTCTTCTTCTTCTTCTTCTTCTTCTTCTTCTTCTTCTTCCTCTTCTTCTTCTTCTTCTTCTTCTTTCTTTTCTTCTTCTTCTTCTTCTTCTTCTTCTTCTTCTTTCTTCTTCTTCTTCTCTTCTTCTTCTTCTTTTCTTCTTCTTTCTTCTTCTTCTTCTTCTTCTTCTTCTTCTTCTTCTTCTTCTTCTTCTTCTTCTTCTTCTTCTTCTTCTTCTTCTTCTTCTTCTTCTTCTTCTTCTTCTTTCTTCTTCTTCTTCTTCTTCTTCTTCTTCTTCTTCTTCTCTTCTTCTTTCTTCTTTTTCTTCTTCTTCTTCTTTCTTCTTCTTCTTCTTCTTTCTTCTTCTTCTTCTTCTTCTTCTTCTTCTTTCTTCTTCTTCTTCTTCTTCTTCTTCTTCTTCTTCTTCTTCTTCTTTTTTCTTCTTCTTCTTCTTCTTCTTCTTCTTCTTCTTCTTCTTCTTCTTCTTCTTCTTCTTCTTTCTTCTTCTTCTTCTTCTTTCTTTCTCTTCTTCTTCTTCTCTTCTTCTTCTTCTTCTTCTTCTTCTTCTTCTTCTTCTCTTCTTCTTCTTCTTCTTCTTCTTCTTCTTCTCTTCTTCTTCTTCTTCTTCTTCTTCTTCTTCTTCTTCTTCTTCTTCTTCTTCTTCTTCTTCTTCTTCTCTTCTTCTTCTTCTTCTTCTTCTTCTTCTTTTTCTTCTTCTTCTTCTTCTTCTTCTTCTTCTTCTTCTTCTTCTCTCTTCTCTTCTTCTTCTTCTTCTTCTTCTTCTTCTTCTTCTTCTTCTTCTTCTTCTTCTTCTTCTTCTTCTCTTCTTCTTCTTCTTCTTCTTCTTCTTCTTCTTCTTTCTTCTTCTTCTTCTCTTCTTCTTCTTCTTCTTCTTCTTCTTCTTCTTCTTCTTCTTCTTCTTCTTCTTTTTTCTTCTTCTTCTTCTTCTTCTTCTTCTTCTTCTTCTTCTTCTTCTTCTTCTTCTTCTTCTTCTTCTTCTTCTTCTTCTTCTTCTTCTTCTTCTTCTTCTTCTTCTTCTTCTTCTTCTTCTTCTTCTTCTTCTTCTTCTTCTTCTTCTTCTGCTGCTGCTGCTGGTGTTTTTTTTCGACGTTTGTCATCAATGTTAATTGGAACATTGTGTTGTGGTTTACAGCTAGGCTGCATCATTCGCCCCAAAGCATACTATTTCAGCAACGATAACACTGGAACTCACATATGGAACAGCTAAAATTTACGAAAGTGAAAGTAAAGGAGAAAAGATATCAGGCATATGACGTGAGACTCGGGAAATTCATCATCATCAAGTGCCTTGTCCGATGGCACAGGGATTCATGCATCTCCACAGATCTTGATCCTTGGTGTTCTGAATCAATTCCACTGATGATATTCCTCCATGCCACCCACTGTCTTGAGCCATCTTCCATCATTTCTCTTGGTCTGCCTCTGCCTCTTCCACCGGTGATCTTTCCAGTCGTTATGATATTTTCCAGTGCTCCTTGTCTCATCACAAGACCTACGAACTTGGTTTGTCTCCTTCTTACTGCTGTATATAATGTTCTGCTTCGAGGAAATTAGACGAAAAAATTAACATCCGATGCGGTGAAGCAAACCATGTATATGGATTGTTTTTAAACAGCATAATACTATTCCGGGTTCTTCATTAACATCCTACCCCAGATGACGTGACATGACAGTCCAACATTTTACAGGGTGGTAAGACTGGGTTTCCCCAAATTCTGATGCTTTTAGGGACCCTAAAACAGCGAGAACTGGCCCTAACCCCAACACACCTACGTCCCACTAGGGAGTGCAACCTTGGTCCTACGACTGCATGCAGCCTAGGTCCCACGAATGCATGCAGCTAATCTACCACCCCCTGAAACCTTAGACTGTCCCATGACCGGTTGATATATCTCCTGTTTGCATTAGGATATTAATAAAGCACCCAATCCCGATCAGCAGAAAGAAACATCTCATGCAAAGCATAATCATTCCTATCCTGTGCTACCAGTACCAAACATAGTCATTCACAACAAATCAGGAAAAGACCAAGGCCTTGGAAAAGACCCCCATTGAAATTAGATATCTGAGAAAGGCTGCAGTAGGGTTCGTCAAATGAGGGCAATTTTCTTCGAAGTCGGAGTGCATCTGCATGACAGCGTCTGCAAATAAATAAGCCAGATTTGTAAAACGGGTATGCTACTTATGTGTGTAGCAATACACAATTTCGTCCTTTTTAGGACGAAATTTTTTGTCATTTGGAGCCCTACTCTGGCTTTTGCCAGGGGCCGCAATATAAGGCAGGATATTAGGGCCAAATGAAGAACGCGGTTTCTGGGACCTCTCCACGGCGATCCTCATCCGCATGGTGGACTTGTGTCAGAAGTTTATCGAAGAAGTGAAGTCCTAGTGGGGTAGAAAAGAAGAATTCATTCAGAAGAAGAAAAACGGGTAGAAGCGCGCAAGAATCAAGGAGGAGGATTACTAAATTCCAACAATGAAGGGAAAATTATAACTTTCGGAGGAGGGAGAAAAGAAGAAGGTGAAGAAGAAGAAGAAGAAGAAGAAGAAGAATGTATGAAGAAGAAGAAGAAGAAGAAGAGAAGAAAAAAGTATCCCCCATCCCCGTCTTTCTAAGAAGAATACTGAAGAAGGAGGAGGAGGAGAAGGAGGAGGAGGAGGAGGAGAAGAAGAAGAAGATGATGATCATGACGGAGGAGGGTGAGAAGGAGGATGAGGAGAAGAAGGAGGGTATGTATTCATGTATGCCTCTCTATTTGAAACAATAGTCACTGTCCTGTATCCCCCTACCCCGTCTTTCTAAGAAAGAATACTGAAATATTAACATGCAGTTACTCAAAGAGACACTAGTCAAAAGAAAATCCAATGGAAGAAAATTATAGAAACTACATTCAATCGTAAGTTCAATTTAAATGGTTCGCAGCGTATGAGTAGCAGCAATTTTTCCACAGTTTCATGTGTAACCATCAGGGTTGTGTTTGGAATATATGATGTTAATCGATTTCTCCGAGCATATATATATATATATATATATATATATATATATATATATATATATATATATATATATATATATATATATATCATCATCAGGTGTGTGGGCGATCATGCCTCTCCACAGTCCGCGATCTCCTGCAGCATGTATCAGTTCGTGTGCTGACACACCTCCATGCCATGCAACAAGACTCAAGAATCTACTGGGGTCCCCATTCACGTCGCTATCTGAATTCGTTATCGTTTCGAGGCAAGATTTTCTAGGGATAATAGTATAATACAGAGGTGGTTTCTTCTTGACTTCCGTCGGTTTGTAAATGGTTTGACTTCAATAGCCTTTCTCTTAAGAGACTTACCATGCAAGGCAGTAGGGGGAAGAGGTTATGGCGCCTCTTACCCACCGATGGCCATGTCGTAGAGTTTTGAGGTGAGTGAGTGAGTGACTTTCTACCCCACTAGGACATCACACAAGCGATAAACACCCGATGACACAACGTGCCACCATGTGGATGAGGATCACCGTGGAGAGGTCCCAGAAACCGCGTTCAGACAATTGGCCATATTTATGGCCTGCCTATATTGCGGCCTCTGGCAAAAGCCAGAGTGGGGCTTTAAATAACAAAAAATTACGTCCTGAGAAGGACGTAAGGACTTGAAGCTGTTAATAGAGTTTTGAGGTATTTAATAGAGTTAGATATATCGCTTATTATTTAAGTTAAAGCTTGAATAAGTTTGTTCCGCTTCGTTACCCAGTCAAGTTTTTGATGTGTAGCCAGCAGGCGGGAGCAGGGCTACCATTACTGGGTTTTCCCCCCAGATCTGGTTTTTTTTTTTTATTTGACGCTTTTAGGGAAATCTGTTTTCCTTTTTTTAAAATATATATATATATCCACTGATAAAAGTGGTAAATGGTTGTTCGGAAGAGTGCCAATGTTTCGTTTTGTAACTATAAATTTTGTACATTTTAACAATCTGGGTTTTTTTTTTAATTTTAATTCTTTGCTAATGTATTGCTTGGGTTTTTTGTTCAGCTTAGCTGGGTTTTTCAAAAAAGTCCAAATGGCAGCCCTGGGCGGGAGAATTTACAGCAGTCAGCAGAAGGTAGACACATTATTCTGTTTTGTGTCTTCTGTTTCTTGGATCTAAAATTACATTGTTAAAACTGATTATTTCACCGCTAGAGATCTCCAGTGAGCAGTAATAAGATGAACGGTTGTGTGAAAGCTGGGCTCAGAGGCGCGTTGATTGTGTTGGAGGGCTGTGATCGCAGCGGCAAGTCGACCCAGTGCTCCAAGTTGGTGGAGAGGTTGGTCCAGGAGGGACGACAGGTCCTCTTGATGAGATTTCCAGGTGACTTTTGTTTTTTAATTTTTATTCAGTCTTTTGTTTACATAAGGCCATATTCCACGACACTAAAAAGACCCACGCACTGAAGTACGGCAGTCATTTGGGCTCTCCTCTGAACTTCTACCCCGGCAATCCTAACAGGGCCTCAGTCCTATAAAAAATGCGGACTTCTCGGACTTCCTGCCGAGCGGCAAAACTAGGATCGGCCCTATATAACGAAACAAATGCTCTAACAGGGTCTCAGCGATATGTTAATTGCGGATCTGTTTCTGTGACTATGCCTCACCGCTGACCGTATCCCCCCGCCGCTACGCGCGTGAGTCCCTGGTATCTAGTTTAGCCCCCCCCCCCCCCCTGCGCATCTGGCGCAGCATAGTGGCAGAGTGTAACCACATTTTGCGCATGCCGAAAAGTTTGAGGACAACAACGCTAATCTGCTTCGGAGCTCGGGGTCTCCCCGCCATGCCGCTTTTATCGTCGCTTTTATTCTATGTTGCGTGTCTCGAAAGTGTCAATGGTCGCTATTATCGTCTGCTACCATCGTCTGCAGTGTTGCGTCTTTTGAAATTGTCAGGTAATCCTAGTTTGGCCGCGATTTGTTTGTCGCCGAACGGGCACATATTTTTAATAGGACTGAGGCCCTGTTAGGATATTTGTTTGGCCGCATAATGCCAGGGTAGAAGTTCAGAGGAGAGCTGTCATTTGTACCGCCCTGTGTAATCTGAGATAACATTTAACTTTTTTCCATTCTCATTTTTTTTTTTTTTTTTTTTGAAACAGTATGCAGCAGCAACGCACGAAGTAAGACAATTAGACGAATAATTCTGGTATACCAAATTCATTTATCTATTTGATAGCTGCAATCAGCAATGAACGATATTAAAATCTTTGTAAGAGGAACTGTCAAACAACTGATAGAAAATGAGTCAGTACTTCAAACAGCGACCCTAAGGGACACAACACATTGTTTATGTATGCTCACATATTCTGTAATATTTAATATTGCTTCACGTTAGGGTTTGGGTTAGGGTTAGCACTTACTCTTAAAGCTAACTCTAATCTCATACAGTATCAACTTTTGGCTATCCTCCGAATAACGGCCCTAAATTATCAAGCCGGAAAATATACCCTAACAGGGCCTCAGTCATGTGTCAATTGCGTACTTCAGTCGTCTTAAATTGTGCACTTCTGGCGACTTCCACCACCACTGAGAGTATCTCCCACGTCGCTAAACTAGATGGCTGGGACTCACGAGCAGCAGCTACCGCATCTCCTGCAGCTTCCTTCATTTTTTTTACTCGTGAGTCTTAGCCATCTAGTTTAGCTCCAATCCATGCGGCGTGGGGGATACTCTCGGCGGTGGCCTTATAGTCCCTGGAAGTGCACAATTGACACGTGACTGAGGCCCTGTTAGGGTATATTTTTTCGCCTCGATAATTTAGGACTGTTATTCGGTGGATAGCCTTTTTCATATCCAGAAACCATGAGTTCAACCCTTTAGCTCGGTACTATGGATATCGCAACCCTTCGGCCTTGATTCCATGGTAGGTACCGTAGATCTGAGAGAAATGTGGCTTTTCTGCCTACCCCCGGGAGTGAACCCGCACCACAAGGAGTTTGTCACCCGGTCACCGCGATGTCAGGTTTAACCAACTACGCTAGAGAGGCGGGCTTCAACTCTTTCAGGACGAAATTTTTTCTGAAGTTTGGACAGCATTGATTTTGAGAGGAATTTTTTCACAACAAAGCTAAAACCTTTTTGAAGAAAAATTATTGGCTGTATAGAGACATAAAGGATATGAAATTAAAGAGAAATCAGTGCATACTTGTCAGTAGTACAACAAAATCTTATTAAAATCACACAACATTCAAGGATGTTAGACACATATGAAGATTATTTACACAGAAAAGTTTGTTCTTACCTTACTTTTTCTTGCTCAATAACACTGCTATCCAATTCTAAGAATTCACATGGCTTCCCTGTTCAATTATATATCAGCTAGTCTTTATTTGAAACAGTTATTTAATTACTTTGGATGTTATGACCATTTTTGTAGGACATGTTAGATTTGACAACAAAACAATTTTGGGAAAATAGATGATCCGATTGAAATATTTTGTTCAATCTTAGTCCAAACCTCAATTATCGGCATCAAGTTTGACACTTATCAGTCATAATATCAAGACTTTGTCACTGTCTGGCTGAGATTCATCAACGACAGAGTAGTATGAACAGTTCTAGACTTTTTCCCTTATCATTTGGTCTTGAAAAATCACATAAAAATTGTATCACAGCTAATTAATTTTCAACAAGTCAGAAAGTAACTCAAACATTATGCGGAACTTTAAAAACGAATGGACTTTGTTTTGCAAATTTTAGTTTTTTAAACATATTCCTTCAAATTTATTTTCCCAGGAAATGAAACAATACTAGAGTGTTTCTATCATCATCAGTCAGTTCTGGTTATGCCTAGTGGCACATGAGGCTTCAGAGAGGACTTTCAATGCCTTCCTGTCCTGTGCAATCTTCAGTGCAGTTTTCCATGTCAAAGATGCCGCACACAAGTCACTTTCCATCGTTCGTCTCGATGATGTTTTTAGGCGCCCCTGTTTTTTCTTTCCCTCTGGTGTTCATGTGATAGCTGTTTTGGCAGGTATATCAGGATTCATTCTCATAACGTGGCCAGGCCATTTCCATCTTCTCTTGGTTATCATACTGTCTAAAGTTTCTTGGTTTGTGACTTGAAGTAGTTTAGTGTTTGAGATTGTATCTGGCCAGAAAATTTTGATAATTCTACGTAGACATGTGTGGTGGAAGGTGGACAGCTTGTGTGCATCCTTTTTGGTCATTCTCCAGTATTCTACTCCATAAAGGAAAACTGGCAAAATGATGCTCTTGTAGAGTCGGAGTTTCAGTGTGTCTATGAAGCACTATTATAGTGGTAAATAGCCCGAACGGGGTGGATTCAAAAGCCACAGAAGTGATGAATAGTCGGTAAAGAGTTAAATATTCAAGAATATTATTATGTCTTAGTCGAGGTTTCAACTTCTCTGCTTTTGGGTCACCCCATACTTTCTGTGTTCCTGCAGCGGTAAAAATCAAGTGGAATGTTTGATGGTATGTCACCAGCCCATATGTAAACCGACTCGGCCATGTTGAGTACCACGACTCCATCGCTGTATAAATGAAAGGCATTTCACGTGAAAAACACAGCTCATAGGGCTGCACCAAGCACTACACTCAGTAGCTCAGGCAACGAAAACCGTAGACTTCCATCGATATGTGGAAACTCTATTAGCAGAGCGCTTTTGTCTAAGTAGTCATGTATCTTGGTACAGTTAGTCGTGTATCTTGGCACAGTTAGTCATGTATCTTGTTAAAGTTAGTCATGTATCTTGGTACAGTTAGTCATGTATCTTGTTACAGTTAGTCATGTAAAGTAAAAAAAAAAGGACCTTTTTCCATGCCTTTAGGCGTATAGGGCATATAGGGCTAGACCTATATTTTTATAGACCAATTGGCACAATATGGGTTATGTGGTTAGCATCACGCCTGCCACCTTTACTTCCCAGGACTGCACCCGGGACTGCACCCGGTACCCACTCAAGGCTAGGTCGACCTGGGAGCCAAGGTCATTTTTGAAAAAAGTCCGGCTTCGTCGGGGAGCGAACCCTCGACCTTCTGATCCGCGGCGCGCGTCTAGCCGCTCGGCCATGGGGACTCCCAGTTAGTCATGTATCTTGGTACAATTATTTACATATCTTGGTACAATTATCCACGTATCTTAGTACAATTAGTCATGTATCTTGTTACAATTAGTCATGTATCTTGGTACAATTAGTCATGTATCTTGTTACAATTAGTCATGTATCTTGTTATAATTAGTCATATATCTATCTTGTTACAATTAGTCATGTATCTATCTTGTTACAATTAGTCATATATCTATCTTGTTACAATTAGTCATGTATCTTGTTACAATTAGTCACATCTTGGTACCTTAGTCACAGTTCACTCACGTATCTTAGTACAGTTAGTCATGTATCTTAGTACAATTAGTCATGTATCTTGTTACATTTAGTCACGTTCACGTATCTTACTACAGTTAGTCACGTATCTTATACAATTAGTCATGTATCTTGGTACAATTAGTGGTGTTAGTACACTTGTTCCCATAGAGAGGCAATTCATCATTTAGAGGTGTCACATTTGATTCCTGGCGCAGTAACTATAGCTTTTTATTTTTGTTGTCTGTTGTGTTCTTCTGTCTTTCTTCTTCTTTGTATGAATGCCGATCAAATCATTTATCTTTATTATATATGTAACATCATCTTGCAGATCGCACAACACCCATTGGGCAGATGATTGACAGCTACTTGCAGCAGACGGTGGAGTTGGATGACCATGTCGTACATTTACTGTTTTCCTCCAACCGATGGGAAGCCATGTAAGGATGGCCGCTTGTATTGACAGTGCTACAATTACTACTAATATTATCACTATGACAACTTTTATTGCAACTAAAGGTTAGTTTGCGTATCCTTTACGGGACGTTGCAGAACCAACCCCAACAGCCCCTACGTCCAGTAGTTTGCCATTTCTTTCTGGACGGTCGGCTTTCTTGATACCACTGTCAAAACCAACGCAAGGCACATGGCCCGCAGCTGGGATCGAACCCGGCATCCCTGCATTATGAAGCGTTCACATCGACTTAGCCACAGAGCCGACCTTTTTGAAACTACTACTGTTAAAACAACTATTACTTGTTCATTTCATTCTTTCTGCTGCCCCATCATGGAGGAAAACCAAGACTCACTCCCTCCCAAACATGGGAAGCCGCTGTTGTGTAACAGCTAGACACTCGCCTCGGATCCAAAGGTCGTGAGTTGATATCCGACAGTGCTGGATTTTTCTTTTAATTTAAATGACCTTCGCTCACAGGTCAAGCTAGCCTTAAATAGGTACCAAGTAAAAAATTATGGAAGTAAAGATGTGTGTAATAGTAATGTGGTTTTTCTTAATGGCACCCCACTCCAAGATGTGAAGTCGTACACCTATTTGGGCAGTAATGTAGATCAAGATGGGGTAACTGATAGAGATATTAAAATAAGAATACAAAAGACAAGAGGAGTTTTTGTTGCATTAGGGAATTTGTGGAGATCAAAAGAAATACTAAACTAAAACTGTTTAATTCTAATGTCAGATCAGTACTTTTGTATGGGGCGGAAACATGGACAAAAACTAAGGCAATTACTAATAAATTACAGACATTCATTAACTGGTGCCTGAGCAGGATAGAGAGAATTAAATGGTATGATATAATCACTAATGTGGAGCTTTGGGAGAGAACTAAGCAAGCTCCAGTTCAACAAGAGGTGAGGAAAAGACGCTGGAGTTGGATAGGACACACATTGAAAAAACAGAGAAAGGCATGACTAAAATGTCTTTGCATTGGAACCCACAGCGGCATAGAAATAAAGAAATGCCCAAAAATACATGGATAGAAAGAAAATAAAGTTAGAAAGATGATGAGGACAGAAGAAAATAGTGAAGGAAGAGACTTTGGGTGGCGTGATTGGGGGATAGAAAGGCAGAAGAAAAAGAAAGATGGGTGGCGTGATGCTGACCACATCACCCACCAAATACTGATTTGTCTGTAAAATATGGGTCTAGCCCTATATGCCTGAAAGCCTGAAGAAGGGTCCTTTTCTTAACTGCCCAACAAGAATGTCATCAAGAATCAACTAATTTTGAAGAAGGGGGAGGGGGGGTGGCTTTCTTCAAAGTCGTGCACATGCCTGAGAGGCAAGGAACCAGCAGTCTGCATACAGACAAGTCAGAACTTTTCATAATAGTTTTACAGCCGGTGAACACAAAGAAAAAGAGGACATTGTCTCCGTCAAAGGTTTTCATATGAGAATGCTACAGGCTTCTATGAATGCTGTGATTCAACACGTGTCTCCACTGATCCATACAGCTTGGTTTATTGAGTTGAGTTGAGTCAAGAATTGTCATCACAGCACTTGGGGCATTCCTGTATATCCTCCATCCTCATCTTCAGCAGCCAGCGCAGAGTTCCAAGACTGATGGTACCGGTCACAATCTGGTTATATGTCCGTCTTGCCTTTCCTCTGAGTGTAGTGAGCAGGCCAGACCCTCTGGTTACACCCAGGTGCCTCATTCTCTACAGGCCATAATAATCTTCTTTCTTTACTGATTCTGTTGCTGGGATATGTGTCTTGCTCCTCTCTCTCTCTATCTCTCTCTCTCTCTCTCTCTCTGTCTTTTTCTTCTTTCGTTCGCCTGATATAAGTTGTCTATATCAGCAATTTTTCTGTCTTATAAATTTCACTGTGGTTTTTAGTTCCTTCACTGATCCATTGAGTTTACGTTCCACTGTTGTTCTTTCTGAACAAAGGTTTGCCTTAATGTGTCACATTTGGTGTAGTCCTGAAGCACCTTTCCACAGGTGCACATGGATGATACGCCTATCTTAAATTTTTTTTACCCATGTTTACGTAATTGATTGTATTCTGTTCTGAGGCAAAGAATAATTACATGTTCTGATCTATCCATAATAAAATCCTCTCTGTCTCTCTCTCTCTCTCTCTCTCTCTCTCTCTCTCTCTCTCTCTCTCTCTCTCTCTCTCTCTCTCTCTCTCTCTCTCTCTCTCTCTCTCTCTCCCTCCCTCCCTTCCTCCCTCCCTCCCTCACTCCCTCCCTTCCTCCCCCACTTGTAATCTCACACCACTGCCCCTACTTGCAGTTTTGTGTGTATTTTTTCTTCCCCAGTTTCTAAAGTTCACTGCTTTTATTGTAAATTTTTTTTTTTTTTTCAGGAGAAAAATGACAGAACTGTTGCAGTCTGGGACAACAATTATTGTTGATCGTTACGCATATTCTGGTGTTGCTTATTCTGCTGCTAAGGTAATTTGACGTTCTGCCTTTTACTAGACTTTTGCCACAATAAAGAAATTAACAGTTGCTGAGATGTTGCAACTATCTTTGTCAGAATCATCATCATCATCATCAGGTGCCTTGCCGACTGGCGTGGGCGATCATGCCTCTCCATAATCCGCAATCTCCTGCAGCATGTATCAGTTCGTGTGGCGACACACCTCCATGCCATGCAATAAGACTGTCAAGCATCTTCTCTCGTTGTCTTCCTCTATCCCTCCTTCCACAGATCTTTCCAGTGGTCACAACATGTTCTATTTTCCCTCTTCTCATAACATGGCCGAAAAATGATGACTGTCTCCTTCTGATGTCAGTAATAAGTTGTCTTCGGGCTCCCGCCTCTTTTAAAACCTCTTGGTTGCTCTTTTTGGCTGTCCAAGGTATTCTAAGCAAAACCACATCTCTGAGGCCTCCAAAAATTGTTTGGCCTGCCTACCGATTGTCCAGGATTCACATCCATATGTTAAAACTGGATGTATGTAGCAAGCAAGAATTCTTTTTCTAACTCTCAATGACAAGGATATATTGCACAAGATGTTTTTCATTTTATAAAATGCAGTTTTTGCCTGTCCAATTCTGTTTCTTATTTCAGTTATGCATCTTCCATCTGATGTTATCCATGTGCCCAGATACTTAAATTTCTGTACTTGTCTTAAAATAACACCATTGACTTTTATTACACACTTAGGAACAAAGGGCACTTTTCTACATCTTGAGGCGTATTGCGCATAAAGTGCCAGGTCTGTATTTTATAGGCAGATCTGCATTTAGCGGGTGATGTCAACATCACGCCAGACGTCTTTACTTCCCAGATTTTATCTGATGCCCATTTAATGCTGGGTTCACCTGGGAGCCAAGGTCATTTTTTAAAGTCTGGCCCTGTTTGAATTGGAACCCACAACCTTTATATGCGTAGGTAAGACTGTAGCCGCTACACCACTGCAGATGCCACTGTCAGAGTAACTAACAACAGTTGTTTGGAAGAGGCTAGTGAAAGTCAGTAATAAGAAAAGTTGCTCTTGGGTTATATAATGAGGAGGAGGCATAGGAAAACATTGTGATAGCAGATTATTTCCTTTATGTTATCAGTGCCAGACATGGACAATAAATAAGACATTATAACAGAAAATAACAACATGTGAAATGAGCTGTTATGTTATCAGTGCCAGACATGGACAATAAATAAGACATTATAACAGAAAATAACTACATGTGAAATGAGCTGTCTCTGCAAGGTAATTAACAACACTAGACTAGACAGGGTTATGAATACCAGCAATAGAGAGAAAGTTGGAAAAAAACCATGTCTGGACTATATTAACAGACAGAATGAAATGATTCAGCCATCTAGTGACAGTGCAGCCAAACCACACTGCATATAAAACTTTTTACAGTATAACATCTGGGGGGAAGGCGAGAGGAAGACCAAGAAAGACATGGAAAAATGGCGGAGCTGAAACCTGCAAAATGATGAACAAATCTATCACTCAAAAGCCATTGACAAGCCATTGGAGAAGCGCATGACAGATGCAGAAAACCACAACACTGTACCACTGAGATGACAAAAAAAAAAAAAAAAAGAACATTATGGTAGAAGAAAATTTTGTGAACATCTTAATTAAATTTTTTTACAATGGTTCTATCTATTTAAATAGTCCTGACCACCAAGGTGAAAGTGATATCTCAGTTACTGCTATAAAATCTTGCTCTGGTGATCAAACCAACCACTACTCCTTAGAAAATTGTTTCATTCAGTTTTGGCGTTCTCAGTGCTGAAGCACTCAATATTCATCATCAGTTCTCGTTATGCCTAGTGGCACATGAGGCTTCAGAGAGGACTTTCCATGTGTTCCTGTCCTGTGCAATCTTCAGTGCAGTTTTCCATGTCAAAGATGCCGCACTCAGGTCACTTTCCATCGTTCGTCTCCATGTTGTTTTTGGGCGCCCTGTTTTCTCTGTCCCTCTGGTGTCCATGTGAGAGCTGTTTTTGGCAGGTATATCAGAAGTCATTCTCATAACGTGGCCAAGCCATTTCCATCTTCTCTTGGTAATCATACTGTCTAAAGTTTCTTGGTTTGTGGCTTGAAGTAGTTTAGTGTTTGAAATTGTATCTGGCCAAAAAAAATTTATAGTTCTATGTAGACATGTGTGGTGGAAGGTAGACAGCTTGTGTGCATCCTTTTTGGTCATTCTCCAGCATTCCGCTCCATAAAGAAGAACTGGCAAAATGATGCTCTTACTTAATATTCAGCTCTCCTATTTTTAATTAAATTAAATTTATTTTTTAAACCTGTTTATCTTTCTCCCCAGTTTTTTCCAAAGGCCTTCTTACTTATTTCATTTTGCAGTAAAGCCCTTCATGTCCATAGTTTTGTTTCTGTCAGGTATTTCTTACATCACCCACCCAGTGCCGATTGGTCTTTAAATATAGGTCTAGTCCTAAATGGTCAGTACAGCTGAAGTTCTAGAAGGGTCCTTTACTTTTACCTACATATGTCTTGGTATCATGTGGGCCGTGGGTTGTTTGCAAGCTCTGTTGTTTTTGTGAAACATTCACTTCTATTTGTGCCTGTCTTTTCCATCCCTCCATTACGCTTTCTAGTCACCGTTATGTTGTATAGTGTATATAGATGTATTTAGTATTTCTTGCAGCAGAAGAGGCGGGCAGACTAAAGGATGTGATTTGATGATGTCAGAGGCAAATGCAGCACCACTCTCTTTACCCTTTCTCCTAAACAAAAATCAGGCGCCATGCACATAAATGGAGTACCCCTGAGAGAGGATAAGGAGCCCACATACCTCGGCGTAACGTTTGATGATAGATTAACATGGAGAAAACACATCAACAAGGCAGCAACCAAAGCCAGAAGGAGGGTAGCCATCCTGAGAAAACTAAGTGGAACCACATGGGGTGCTAGCGGGAAAATACTTAGAAAAGTTTACCAACAAAGTGTTCGACCACATCTTGAATACGGATCAACAGCATGGAGTTCGGCATCAAAAACCACATTGCAAGAATTAGACAAAGTGCAAAATCAAGCACTCAAAGTTACCACAGACAGTATGAAATCAACACCTATAGCTGTGATGGAGAAAATGGGGATGACCCAAGCACTAAGTGAACGCAGAGACACCAAGATGCTTTTACAAGCAGAAAAGTTTCTTAGTATGCCCAGTCACCCTATGAATGAAAGATTCAAAAATTTAGCTTTGGGACGACTAAAGAGAAGTAGTTTTATCCACCAGGCCAAACGGCTCGGCAGACAAACCACTGATTTACCTGCAACTGATAGATCCTTAAATGCTGTCCCGGAACGGACCCCCTGGAGAGAGGAGTATAAGTTTCCCAATACACATCAAGACTGAAGTGAAAAGGGGTATTTGACAAGGAAGAACAAAAACAGTGTGCAGCGCAAAACAGCCACCCTCAGTTTACTTGATGATGAATACCCGCAGAACCTTTGGGTCCGTGTTTACACAGATGGGTCAGCAGAAAGCGCAGTCAGAAACGGAGGTGCGGGAGTGTACATTGAGTATCCTAATAATACCAGGGATACAGCCAAATTACCAACGGGAAAGCACTGTCACAACTATGATGCAGAAGTTCAAGCCATCAAGATAGCGGTAGAGAAACTACTAAATACAGGGTATTTTTCACAACCAGTGGTATTCCTGACAGATGCAAAAGCAGTACTTCAGTCACTCCAGTCTGGAAAATTACCAAGCATACGGACACTATTATCCGAACTAGGCAACCGCTGTAAATTAGTAATGCAGTGGATACCTTCCCACTGTGGAGTTCCCGGAAACGAAAAAGCTGATAAACTAGCTAAGGAAGGTGCAACTGAAGAACAACCTGATATACCAGTCTCTTATCAACAGAAGAAGAGAATGATCAAATCAATCAGAATGCCACCGAAACTGGCACAAGATGATTACCATATTATGGACAGACCAGAGCAAGTTATTATCCTTCGCCTTAGAACAGGGCACAATAGACTTCGCTCCCACATGTACAACAAATTTAAGATAGGCCAATCGGCCATGTGTACTTGTGGACTGGCACCTGAAACAACAGATCACATCCTTCAAGACTGTCCCATATTCAACGCTTTCAGGCAAAACATTTGGCCAAAAGAAACACTTGTGGAAGTCAAACTTTACGGGCCGCTTAGTGAATTACAAAAGACAGTGAAATTCATACAAGAGACGGCTTTGCAGATATAGACAATTTATTTCATGCGAACGAAAGAAGAAGAAGAAGATGATGTCAGAAGTCGTTAAAAAATTATCTACGCCAGCCTGCAGTAGGTGCAAGCTATTTGGGGTTTAGACACAAGTTAGATGAGTTAACTCTACCAGACCTGACACCCTGAACCTAACTGTCCCCTATACCTGGGCTCCTGGGCATTAACATGAAAAAACCAACATGATAGACACAAATATTAGTTACATGCAAACAAGGGGTTAAAATAAGATGAAACTTAGATACATTGTAGAAAATAGATTTACCTTATCTTTAATTATTGAAATTCAGATCTGTATTTAGTGATACAAAATTCCTTGTCCAACCTTCATCACCTCGTAGATCTCCCTCATAATCACCACTTAGATCTCCCTCATAATCACCACTTAGATCTCCCCCATCACCATCTAGATCTCCCTCATCATCACCATGTAGATCTCCCCCATCATCACCATGTAGATCTCCCCCATCATCACCACGTAGATCTCCCTCATCATCACCACGTAGATCTCCCTCATCATCACCACTTAGATCTCCCCCATCATAACCACCTAGATTCCCCCCATCATCACCGCCTAGATCTCCCCCATCATCACCACCTAGATTTCACCCCATCATCACCACCTAGATCTGCCCCATCATCACCACCTAGATCTCCCCCATCATCACCATCTAGATCTCCCCCGTCATCACCACCTAGATTCCCCCCCCCCCCCCCATCATCACCACGTAGATCTCCCCCATCATCACCATCTAGATCTCCCCCGTCATCACCACCTAGATTCCCCCCCATCATCACCACCTAGATCTCCCCCATCATCACCATCAAGATCTCCCTCATCATCACCACTTAGATCTCCCCTATCACCATGCAGATCTCCCTCATCATCACCACTTAGATCTCCCCTATCACCATCAAGATCTCCCCCATCATCACCACCTAGATCTCCCCCATCAGCTGTTTAAGGTACACATCCCCCTTCTCGTACTATCAAACTAGCTGTAGTTCTTTAAGGTTTAAGATTCTTCTCACCACTCAGACTGTCACAGTCTGTGTCACTTAAACTGGAAAACATATTCTTGTTGAAATTCTGACTCCTTAGAGACAATCAACCAAAGTATCGATCACCTTTTGAACTGTGAACAGTCAAGAGCTACTACGTTTTCCTGTTGAATTGCTTGGTTCATCAGCCGCTTCATTGTGAATTTTGAGAATTTTTTTACGTTAAACCACACAAAGTCAATTCAAACACATGTGGGCAGCCATTTGCAGTGACTAACCATGAGGTTTGACCATGATTGGTTGGTTATTTTTAGTTTGTGACGCATTTTTTTTCACATAGTGCGCAAAGTACCGAAAATTAGGTCCAGCAGTTTAGCAGCAGATTAGGGAATTCCGGAAAAGCAGTACAGTGGTCTGGTAGAGTTCAGAGTTAACTCACGATCTTTCTAAAGAATCATGAGAGCCAACCAGTGAACCTTGTTTGGATGACACAGGACATATACATGGTTGTTTAGGGAAACAAGTTATTTTGTGATATCATGACACTATTAAACATTGTATGTTATATACACACTGCTTTTTCTGCAAAAGTGACTTTTCAAAACCCTTTTAAAAAAATGTGATTCCACAATCAGGGTCTTTCTGTCGACTGGTGCCGGCAGCCCGATGTCGGTCTACTGAAGCCTGATAAAGTGCTGTATATAACGGTCAGCCCTGAGAAGGCAGCAGAGAGAGGCCAGTTTGGGACTGAGCGATATGAGAAGCTGGACTTCCAACAGAAGGTCAATAACATGTTTCTGTATCTGAAGGACCCCTCCTATTGGCAGGTTTGTGTCATTGTTTCTGGTTATAGCTTTCTTGTACGCGGATCGGAAGGTCGTGGGTTCGCTCCCTGGTGGAGCCGGACTTTTTTCAAAAATGGCCTTGGCTCCTAGGTCAACCAGCCTTGAGTGGGTATTGGGTGCAGTCCCGGGAAGGGTGACCCCATCATCCATCTTGTGCCGATTGGTCTATAAAAATATAGGTCTAGCCCTACATGCCTGTTCCGGGGTCCTATTATAGTGAAAAACAAGAATAGACCCATTGCCTACCCAAAAGCTAGTCAACTGACTGGGAGATCCTTTGAAGTCGGAGTGCATCTGCCTGAGAGGCAAGGAACCAGCAGTCTGCATACAAATGAGTCAGATCTTTAAAACGGATACACACGCATCACTCAGGTTCTGGAACAGGACTGCAGTCCAGAAGTGGATGAACAACCAGAACTTTCCGCCAGAGTTTACAGCTAGTGATCGCGAAGAAGAAGATATACATGGAAATCTCAGGTTTTGGAACAAGATCAAAGTTAAGGAGTAAACGAAAGACCAGAACTTTCCTCTAGAATGATGAGGACCACTCTTTCTTTCATCCGTCATGAAACTGCAGTTGAATGTTTGTGAGTCTGGAGCAGTGTTGCCACTTTTCTGTGACCAAAAAAACATCCAAAATGGAGTCAAAAAATGTCTAAAAACATATAAATTTGCATAGAAAACATCTATAAAAAAAAACATGCAAATGGAAAGAGTCACAAATTTCATAGCAATTGATATGACTTACCCTACAGAATTATGTCCTCATCTTTACTGAAATCTGCCTTACAAGATCCACAGGATAAACTTAGCTTGGATGATGAAGTTGAAGCTTCAGATCCAAAATGACTGGTAAGCTTTAGCTGTTCCAGTTTCTTTTAATACCCAATCAGGGAGCTGATAAGTGAAACAGCTTTTTCCTACTCTTATCAGGCAAAATTTTATTGTCAAGATAGCATTTAAGAAGTCAAATTTATCCTGTTTTTTAGGTTAGATTCGATAAATTCACTCCAAATGAAAAAACATCTAGAATTACATCTACCATCTAAATGTCAAAAACGCCATCTAAATACAAGGAGAAACCACTAAATCTGGATGTAAAACATCTAAAGTGGCAACACTGGTTTGGAGGTTATTTATAAGTCCAATACGTACCCAAAGTGTCTAGGACATTGAGGGCAGGGAACAGTGTCTGTAAACAACTGGCCTGTTTGGAATGTACAGCCGATGAAAGCGAAGAAGAATTTTCTCTGTACCTATGTGTTACGGGGCGGCGTCCGTGGCTAAGGCGTTGCGAGTTCGACTTGTAATCCAGCGTACCGCGATTGAAACCCACCACTGGCTTAGGGGATTTTCATCATGGTACAGGGCGTCGCAGGTCGACCCTGGGTACCAGGATGGCTGTCCTGGGGAAGTAAAGACGGCCGGCGTAATACTGACTACATTACCCACCTAGTGCCGATTGGTCTGCAAAAATAAGGTACGCTCTTCCCATATGCCCGATGCGCCTTAGGCGGGAAAAGGGATCTTTACTTACTTACTTTACTTTATGTGTTACGGGGGCATGTACAGGTAGCAGATAACCTAAATGTATGTCATGACAGTTCTGTGTTTTCCCTTAGGGAAAGCTATGGAAGCTTCTCTTGCCTTTTGTATTTGTCTTTTAATATCTCTATCAGTTCCCTGCCTTTATCTACATTACTGCCTAAATGGGTGTGTGACTCCATATCTAGGAATGGGATGTCACCACGAGTAATAAGACTATTTTTTTTATAAAAAACGATCAGTCTTCTTCTCATTCACCGACTGTAAACTCTGATGGAAAGTTCTGGCTGTCATCCACTTCTGGGCTGGACAGATCAATGGGTTAAAGGTAGAAAAGACAAATTTGGTCAGGTGCAAAGAAAATAATTGGGTTAAGTGCACAAATATAACTGGGCGAGAGGCAGAAAATAATTTGTCAAAGGCAGAAAATAATTGGGTCAAAGGCATACAAATAATTAGGTCAAAGGCCAGAAAAATAATTTGGTCAAAAAACAGAACAATAATTGGTCAAAGAACAGTACAATAATTATTTATTTGTTACCTGTAGCAGTAATCACTTTTCGGATACCAGATTTCCTGCTGTTTCAGACTGTCAGTGGGGAAGGATCTATTGATGTTGTCCATGCGGAAATTTACAAACTAGCAACTCAGACAATCAAGGAATCAGAACATTTACCTTTGTTGAAACTTTGGACAAAAGACTGACAATGTGTTCTCTTGAAGGTGTGTTGCTGTGTTTGTTTATTGACTGAACTGATATCTTTGCACATGGTGTTGAGGCTTCCTGTCTCATAACCCATGTTGGAATGTGGTAAATAAAACTGAAAACTCAATGAAAATAGGTGAGATTATTCAGCTCAAGATAAAAATCACTTGCAAATGATACAGTGAATGGTGTGGCTACAGTGCTTTCATCTGCAGTCAGAAACAAATGCAAGCAGTCATTTGTGTTAACTTCTTCTTCTTTGCGCTCACCAGCTGTAAACTCTGGTGAAAAGTTCTAGTTTTTCGTCCACTTCTGGACTTCAATCCTGTTCCAGAACCTGAGTGTTGCGTGTGCATCCTAATGACAGATCTGACACATCTGTTTGCAGACTGTTGGTTCCTTGCCTCTCAGGCAGATGTACTCCAACTTTGAAGTAAGTTCCTAATTAGTCGACTCTTACCACATGCTTTTGGGTAGGCAGGGGGTCTATTCTTGTTTTTCCTTTAATAGGGTCCTGGAACACCTGGGGGATTTGTGTTAACACTTTCACACTTATATGCATAGTTTTTCACTATTCAATGTGTAATCAGATCCACACCTGTGTGTGTATAAACAATTTCACTATATATAAAAACACTTTTATATCTTATGTAATTATTTATTGTTTACTTATGAAAGCTTTCTAACCACAACATCTATCTGGCAGCTGTATTGCTGTAAAGTTGGATTTGTTCCCCTGGTGTTCATGCATTTTCTAAAGATGTAGAGCCGCCATTGATCTGAGTGTATTTACACATGTTAGTGTAGATCATTTTTCACCTCAGATGGAAGAATGGATAGAGAAATGAACATACTATGTGCAAAAGCAAATCAGGTTATGGAACAGTTAACACCGCTTCTGACGCAGAGAACGATACCTCTGTCAACCAAAGAAAATCTCAGAGTGGTTTTTGTGTGTGGCCGACATTTTGCTACCAGTGCCAAACATGGACCCTTACTAAAAATAATGAGTGGAAGATCGTATCCACAGAGATGAGATGTCTTAGGAGAGCTGCCAGTGTGACAAGAATAGATCAAATCAAGAAGAAGAAATTAGAAGACTAGGACTGAAGCCAGTCATACAATTCATTAAAGTAAAACAAATGAGATAGTTTGGCCAAGTGACGTGAATGCCCTGGTACCAACTGCCGCAGAGAGCAGCACTAAAGAAATATAATGAAACAGAACAAGGGGAAGACCACGCAAGAGATGGGGCGACATCATCAGGGGCAAACTAACAAAAATTAACACCAGCTGGTACAAAGCGTTGGAGAAAGCACATAGACGATCTCCCCCTCGTCTCGCTGAGGTTATGGTGGAAGAGAAGAAGAAGGATATGTAGGAATTGGTGTGCCCTTTTTTCTGATTCTGAGATTTTGCTATGGGTTCTATGGCTCCATTATAGGGGTGGGGGGGTAATAAACCCACGCCTCCCTCACACGGGGCCCACTAATTAGGGTTTCATTCAAAGTTGCTGGAGCTACGGAGCACGTGCTCTGCGCTTGACATTATCTGGAATCAGTAGAGAAAGAATTTTATAATGGCCTGGAGAGAATGAAGCACCTGGGTGTAACCAGAGGGTCTGGCCCGCTCACCACACTCGAAGGAAGAGCAAAACGGACATATAACCAGATTGTGACCGGTACCATCAGTATTGGAACTCTGCACTGGCTGCTGAAGATGAGGATGGAGCATTCATGGGAATGCCCTAAGTGCTCAATTCAACTCTAAATCGGGGTACATCTGTCTGTTTGTGTCCCCAGGCAAGGGACCAACAATCTGCATACAAATAAGCCAGATCTGTAAAAAGGAAATGCGTGCAAAATTTAAGTTCTAGGACAAAACTAAAGGGGATGGGATAAACAAACAGAACTTTGCGCCCGAGTTTACGGTCAGTGAACACAAAGAAGATGAAGAAGAACCAGCTTCATTATTGATTAGCACTCCGGACAGATCCATAAGTGCTCTAGTCTCCTCCTCAGCAGCTCCACAAGTGTAAAACGACAAATGACACCTGTTCTGTGTTGGACAATGAAACTTCTTGTCCCCTTAGTGAAATGTTCATATCTTGCAGTTCCAGGCTGCACCACCATGTCCATCAGTCTAGACAGGGATACGGAGTCATTTCCTTTGGCGTGTTCCATCGGTACGGTAAGTGCAGCGCATGGCATTGATAACATCACTTCTGTCCGGTTCAGGACCACCCATAGCAACCGCAGTGTCAGCAGGGTAGTCTGTGCGCTCGTTCCCTTGAACACCTGCATAACCTGGCACAAAGATGAAGGTTAGGGCACACCAGCTTCATTGAGACCTATGAACGCTGAGGAGAGAAGAAGAAGAAGAAAGAGGCGGAAGGGAAGGCGGAAGGGCTAGCTATAAAAAGATAGATATGGACATTATAGACACTTTTTGTATTGGAACTTGCAGGAGTCGATTCAGCTGACAGGGAATCTAGTGTATTTCTAGTGGGGCGTGATGGAAGTGACGTTGAACTAAATACTTGCTTCACTGCTTGGTCTCAAGGCATGTTGTCCGCCTCAAGTGCTAGAGGTCCCGGGTTCAGGCAGTGATTTTTTATCACGTGAACTTCTAGGAATTGTCGCTGCTCTCTGGGTAGTAAGATTGGATGCTCGTGTGTATTGTGCTCGTTAAAAAACATCCATTGGCATTTTTGGGAAATGGAAAAGAGAAGCCTAACGCCTCTGCCTGGGCAAAATTTGGAGTTCAAAATCTACCCAGAAGAGTATTTCAGAAGCTTTGCCAGTTCATGCACTTCAGACTTGAGGTAGAAGTAGAACGGAGCACTTTTGGGTTACTACCCTTGTGCAATGATGTTGATCCTTGTATAAACCATAAACTTGCTTCACGATTGTTGTCAGTGTAGATATTTTGAAATTGTTGCAAATAAATATCACATTTGTGTTTAATGCAGTGTTTGATTAACTGTTTAACTTCAGAGTCGGGGGACGACCATGCAGTGACCCGGGTAATTTGTTTTTATTTCTCACCTAGGTGTTTATCAATAATTGCTGTGGTATGTCGCATTGAATGTGCTTTCTTGATGTATTTGTATCATTTTAGTGAGTTAAAGCAAATTTTTTGGGTTTTGTTTACCTGCATGAAGTTTGACTATTGGTAGTTCACAGCAGTTTAAGAATTAACACAGTTTTTGTTGTTGTTGAAACTCTTGTATTTGAAATTTTAAAAACCCATTCCTTTAAAGGAGCGGTTGGCACATCATGTTGTATAATATGTGATATGTTCAAGTCCTCCCCACGAGGGATGCAATTTTTAGTTATTTTGAAGCCTTACCCTGGCTTTTGCTGGGAAACCTACAAATGGCCTAACGGCTGAACGGGTTTTCCGGGACCTATCCACGGGTGATCCTCATCCGCATAGTGGCACTTTGTGTCATCAGGTGTTTATCGCTTGTGTGATGTCCTGGTGGGGTACAACTTACATACTTAGCTAGGCTGTGATATTTTGTGCTAAACATATCAGGTTTCGACAAATGGCTGCACAAAAGGAACATGGAGGAAATTACCAATCTCTTGTGTTTTATTTTAAAGGCAGTGTGTGCTTCAGGTTTGCCTTTTCTGTGCAAGAAGAGCAGACATGTTTTATCTCCAGCCAAACAAGTGGCTAGAACTGCCCTGAGCTTCAATGATGTGCACTTTTTTTTTTTTCTGTTCAATTTCATGTCTACGCAAAACTTTTTTTGTGTCTTTTTTAAAAAGTATATGATGCTGCGTCTATCCAGGAATTTAGTTTTGAATGTTGATGATTAAGACAAAGACAAATGAGACAAATTTAATTTGGGCATGTCAAAAAAAACCACACATAATATTTTGAGTTGAGTTGAGTCTAGAATTGACGTCACAGCACTCTTAGCATTCCCATGCGCGCTCCGTCCTCATTTTCAGCAGCCAGTGCACAGTTTCATTACTGATGGTACCGTACCGGTCACAGTCTGGCTATATGTTGGTCTTGCCTTTTCTCTGAGTATAGTTAGCCAGCCAGACCCTCTGGTTACACCCAGGCGCCTCATTCTCTCCAGGCCATAATAATCTTCTCTCTCTACTAATTCCGTTGCTGGTTTCCTAAAGGGCCTTGACCACATCTGCCTTGTCATGTATCAGTTCACCCAGTTGTGCAGATCCAGCCAATCTGTCTGCCTGTTAATTACCCAATACGCCGGCATGGCCTGGAGAAAAAATCCAAAGTATGCTCACTACCCGTGACCTTCCCAGTAATGCTTGCCACTCTACTCGAGGCATCCCTGTCTTTACCTCTCTCAGCATGCCTTTAGAGTCTGTTACAGTTATGACATGTGTATGCATATAAGATCTTAAAAAAATTGGAAGCACATGGGGGTGGGGGTATTACTATTCCTGGAATGGTGTCATCATCTTTGAGATGGTGTTGGCATCACTGGATTGGTATTATGATCTCTAGATGGTATCAGTTCTGAGGTGGTGTCATTTATGTCTAGAATGGTGTCTTCATGTCTGGAATAGTGTCATCATCTCTGGGGTGATGTATTTATGTCTAGGGTAGTGTCGACATCTGTAGCGTGGTGTCATCTTTCAGGTGTGTTGTACATTGTGTATTCAAGCAGTAAATTATGATTGTTAATTAGGGATCAGAATTTAATACTAGCTATTTGGTTTAACATTCCTTGTTTTCACTTGAGAAATTTTTTTCAGATACGTTTATTATCCTGACAAGAAAAATAGCAATATACATATTGCCATACACAAAATATTCTCTTAATATTCTGGTATTCTTAGTTTCAGCTTTATAGCAAACGGGTCACCCGATAATTGGCCCGCTCCTGTGCCAAGGAAAAACACACAGAATGTTTATCACAGTCCCTTGTGGAAAGATTGACAGAATGCTGTCTCAGCATATCCAGCATACACACGTATGAAAGCATACTCTTATTTATAATACAGATAGG